AGAGAGGATTTGCGACTTGGCGAAGGAGTGCTTGTGGCCTCCAGAAGGAACAGAGAAGACCCCGAAGTCTAAGCATACCTGATTTTTTTGAAAGCATTATAACCCATACATCCTCATCCTTTGGAGAGCCTGTGTATTTGAGGGAAGGGTGTTGAATGTTTGAATAAGAGTAGAAAATGGACAGAAGGTCTGATTTTCTCTTGATGGAGCTCTTAGCTTTTGTGGAGTTTAAAAAAAAGGAGGGGGGGAGTGGCAGATTCCAGGAAAGCCCTGGAACCACCCATGTGGGCCTGCTTTATTTTCTGGAACCCCTGCTCTCTTGGCTTTTTCTTAATCAAGAGATTTAGATCACTTGACTTTTCCTTAAATTTTTTTTTGTAATGAAACTTTAATCCTCAGTTATTCTTGGAGTGTATCCTTGACTTTCTGCAAGGAATAGCTCCTTTCCTTTGAAAAGAGAAGAGATGGTTCTGCATTTTTGCTGTTGAATGCAAGGGTGGGGGAGGAGAAGTTTCATTTCCATAAGCTGATGGCACCTCGGGCTGCTATGCACAGAACATGGAAACATTAAATAGCTGCTAACTCCCAGCTTCTGGTTGTTTGACTTTTCAATGCATGGTGTTATATTTTTGTTTATCAGATTTAACTTTTTAGTTACACTTGGCTCAGACCCATGGTAACATCAAGGCCTTTTCCTTAAAGCACAGGCTACTGCAGAGACCCAGAACCACAGGAAGTGGCAAGGCTGGAAAATGCTTATCTCACTCACCCCCAAGCTGATGCCCAGATCATGGAGGCCACTTCTTGCACAGCATCTTACTGAGACATGGCAGAGCTGATGCTCAAATTTTGATCTGACGTTTCAGCCCTGGTGACTTACCTTTCTTGTAGATGAATGATGTGCCCTAAACTGAATGTTGGCCTACTCTGACTATATCCATGCCCTTGAGACCCATAGAGGTGGGAGAAAGAAGGGGAGGGGGCCAGAAACTTGGAGGAAGCCTGTTTGGTATCAGCCAGCAAACCGTAAACAGCAGCCTCCTTGGCACTCAGGAAGGGCCAGCAGTCTCCCTGGAGTTGCAGCCCTTTGGGCCTGAAGTGAGGATTCATCAGAAGCCGGGTATCTTAACTTTCCTTCCAGGGACAGGCTAAGGGATGGGGCAACAGAGGGGGGCCAGCAGGTAGAATAGTGATGGCTAATCTGTTCTCTAATGGAGAGATGGAGATGAGTCCAAGAGGGCTGATGTCTACACCTCTGCTCGACCAGCCTGAGTTCACCCAACCATCCCAGGCCTGACATGTTCTGGAGTCCCATCTGGAATTTAGTTGGGGGCAAAGCCAGGAAGAGAAAATTCCTGGAAGTTCTTCCAGAAACTTCCAGCTTGATCTAGTGTCCACACACACCAAGTGACATCCGTGGTCTGAGCCACAAAGAAAGAATCAGAAGTCCTCAGGGTCTGAGACACTGTTGGGCAGGAAAGGGAGGGGTGTGTGTGTGTGTGTGTGTGTGTGTGTGTGTGTGTGTACACGAAGCAGGAGGGGAGGTGGGCAGAGGGAGCACTGAGCAAAGGCAAATAGGAAGAAGGGTGTGGAGTATATGTCCACCTACATGTCCAGGTGGGATGGTCCCTGGAGGCCTCAGAGAGCAGACTCTCCACGAAATAGAGCCTGCATCTGAGAAATTGAGCATCCGGGTGGAGGGGTTGTACAGGACTGAGGAGCAAGCGCGGGAAGACGAGCTGGAGGAGACTGTGTCTGGCATAAGGAGCACATGCATATGCTGGGAAATTGTTTGAACCAGGTGGTAGGGGATAAGAGCCATGAGTTTGGGATTCTGGCTGCTGGGGGGACGTGTGTGTGAGGAATGGAGAGAAAGTGGTCATGTGGGAATATGGAGCTGTGGTCAGGACTGAGGGGTCTGAGCTGGAATCAGGCTATGGAAGTGGAGAGGAAGAGGCAGAACCACTGGCGGGGGCGGGAGGCTGGAAAGGACTGGTCAGCTAGAGATGGAGCAAGTGGGACCTGAGTGACAGACATGTTGGAGGGTCGGATGTAGTGGGAATTCCTAATAATGTGCTTTCCCAACCTTGAGAAATTTCACAGAAATAGCACTTGGAAAAACAGCATATGTTAAGAAACTGTGTTATGATTACTCTTCATGTTTTTCTTAGAATAATAGCCTTGTTACAAACCTCTAGGCCAGATCCAGAAGGCAGTATGACTGGGATCATGAAAGTATGGACTTTGGAACACCAGGTCAGCGTCAGGTATGAATACTGCCTATGCACTTGCTGATTGTTCCTGAGACTTTCCCAGAAGGGAACGGCCTGGGGTAAAAACAAGGAGATCTGAACTCTGTCAGGATAGTGTCTTGGGGAAGAAAGAGCAAAGAAAGTTTTGTGGTCTGCCATTAGAAATAAAAGCTGGACTCAGAGTGGACTCTGCATCTCAGGCCAATAGAGACTGCAGGTGCTCTGACTCATTGCACCAGATTTCGTGTTCTGTCTTCACTCTTGTCGCTCACTCCCAGACCATTAGGGCAACAGTTGGAGACATTGTCGTTCACAAGATCACATGTCTTTGCATCGCAGCAGCATTTATTGAAACACAGATTGAGACAACCCAGAAGGCACGGCACCCACAGACAGTCATAATAAGAGGGAGACCCAGAAAGTGGTCTCCCCTTCTCCATCCCACCTGCTCTGGATTAGACAGATTCCTCCTGCACCGGCAGGGGGCGATCTGGAGCAACCATTGGCGTTTTCTTTGAAATCTGTTAAGGTGTATGAATAGCAAGACCTGTCCAAAGTCAGAAGAATTCCCCTCCACAATAGGCCTCTCAACTGGGAGGTCACAGGAGGAGTTTGGCTGGAACAGGTTAACCCAGAAGAAGGCAATCAATTAGAGAGACAAGCAAAACACAAACCCAGATGACCAAGGGGCAATTCCTTCCTGCAGAGAACTTCCCAGCCAGGAGAAGGGGCCTGCTGGAGTCAGGGCGGCTTCCTCTCTGATTCTCAGGCTGAGGGAAACCTGGCTGGATGGTTAGGCTTATTCCTTGTGCCAGAGGAAGGCTGAGTTTTCATGATGCCCGGCTTCCCTGGGTGACTGGTAGGGTCCCAGAGAGCTTGGTGAATAACACAAATTGGACGCGGGGGTTTAGGAGTCAAATCTGAGTTGAGTGAAAGGGCTGGGAATGACTCTTTCTAACTGAAGCCTGTTGGAGAACCAGGAAAACAACTCCCTAAAAGGAGAAGGTGGCGCAGAGAGCGGCGGAGGGTCTTTCCCTTGTAGGAACACATGGAAGATTCTGGAAGCAAGCACACATTTTTTTCCATTCACACACCCTTCCGTGCTGGGGGGATGCAGGCGGGGCTACGCAAAACGGACAGATCGGCTGCTCCCACAGCTGAAGCTGGAGGCGCGGGGCTGACAGGGGACGCAGGAGTCGGGCGCCAGCACCGTGATGCTGCCCCCGGTGGCCACGGGGCCCGAGGCGATCTGGCGACCGGCGGTGGTGCTATACGTGAGGCCCCCACAGGTGACTCCACCGCGGGAGCTGCTGACACCTGTGGGAAGAGAGGGGACAGGGGAGCTGAATGGACCACAGTGATGTCGCCAACCCCAGGACAGGCCCAAAGGGGCTTCTGCATGCATGAGCTTCCTCCTCCCCGATGAGTTTAGTGGTTCATAACTCAGACCCTGTTCTCAGCCTTCCTTGGCACCCAGGCGAGAAGCAAGCAAGGACCCCCAGACACAGTGGCAAAGCCGAAGTGAAGTGAAGTCGCTCAGTTGTGTCCGACTCTTTGTGACCCCATGGACTATAGCCTACCAGGCTTCTCTGTCCATGGGATTTTCCAGGCAAGGGTACTGGAGTGGGTTGTCATCTCCTTCTCCAGGGGATCTTCCCAACCCAGGAATCGAACCCGGTTCTCCCGCATTGCGGGTAGACGCTTTACCTACCATCTGAGCCACCAGGACAGCCCAGTGGCAAAGCTGCTGCACCCTTATTTCCGTGGCATGTAGTTCACATATCCACCAGTGGAGGGCGTTCAACGATGCCTTTAATTAGGGCCTCCAGGGAGAAGGGGGCGAGGGAGGGAGCAGGGAGCATGAAAGGCCCCCTCCCAGGTCTGGAACTTTCCAGGTCCAGTAGGTTAGGCAGTCCGGCTCAGATCTGCCCATCAATAAAGCCAGTTTTCTAGGGGGGGTTTCAAGCAGGTACTTACAGACATTCACAGAGCCCACTCCTTCGCACAGCCTATGGGAAAGAAAAGTCCGTTTAATTCCAAGCATTGAGCCGGATTCCTTGAGGCAGATTCCTGGAAGCTTGGGCACAGAGGGGGTCCTCCTGTGTACAGATCCAGTTCCCCAGAGGCAGGAAGTGCTCCCTCAGAGTTTGCCTTAAATGCTTATGCTCCTTTAACTATTCACTGACCACAGAGACAAGGCCTTGTGCTTTTCAGCAGAGGTGAGCGAGGCTACGAACTCCTTGCACTACTTCTGATCGGAATGACTTGGCCCACCCTGGATAGTGCCGATCAGGCTCACAGAGAGCGTGTGAAAGGTCCTGGTACCAATGAAGAGCTACAGCACAAACTGCATCGACCTTATAATGTACCCTCTTCCAGGGCAGGCCAAGTGGCAACCTCCTACTGGTAGAGAGTGGATTTCAGAGCCACAAGTCTTGAATGAGGGTCCTGGCTCTTCTGCTTATTAACTGTGTGGCCCCGAGACAGTCACTGAACGCTGGGCCTTATTTCCTTATCTTTGGATGGGAAAAATAATACCTGGATTGTGAAGATTAAAATGAGCACTGAGCACAGGCCTAATAAAGCATTCATAAATTATTATTACTATTGAAGCCTGAGCTGTACTAGCAGGGGGCAAAGATGCAGTTCACACGTGGGTTCAGGGAAATTCACCCCCAGAGGACCAAGGCCTCCTCCTTCTAGACCCCCAAGGGCTTCCTCAGCCTCACCTCTGCTCCTCAGCCTCACCTCTGCTCCTCGCCCTCCAGCAGGCGCCTGTAGGTGGCGATCTCAATGTCCAGGCCCAGCTTGGAGTTCATCACCTCCTGGTACTCCTTGAGCAGGCAGGCCATGTCCTGCTTGGCCTTCTGCAGGGCCTCCTCCAACCCGGCCAGCTTGCAGCGGGCATCGTTAAGGGCCGCTTCGCCCTGCTGCTCAGCCTCAGCCACTGCGGCCTCCAGCTTGGTCCGCTGTGGGGAAGGAGATGTGAGGATGGGAAGGTGCAGCCAGGCTCACTTGAGCCGAAGGAGCTGGGGCAAGGATCCCAGAGAAAAGTTAAGTTAACCTCCTAAGAGCACGTAGTTAATGGGACTATGAACACAAGGGAGGTGATGGGCACTTTTCATCATTTCCTCTTGATGGTGCTGCAGGGTGGCCAGGAGGGGAACATCAGTGATCTGGCTCATCTCAGCTCCTGTGCTGTGGGAAGTGCCAGGGCTCAGGCACCCTCTCTGGGCCCCTGCTTCCTCATGGGAACACTCTGAGGCCTGATTAGGGCTAGACCTTTGTTCTTCCACAGGCAAAGGGCCTGGTGCTACAGTCTTCCTGTGCTGGGTATTCAAGCCCTCCCAGAACTCATACCTGGCACTTGGAATTTTCAATCTCAGCTGTCAGCCTCTGGATCAGGCGGTTCAGCTCGTTGATCTCCTCCTTGGTGCGGCGTAGGGTCTCCCCATGCCGGATCACTGTGGCCTTCATCTCCTCACACTGGGAGGAAGCAGAGAGACTCCTGAGGCTCAGAATGGGACATCTCATCCATTCAGGACAACTTGGATAATTGTGCAGGTTGTACAATGTTCAGCCTGTGCAACTATGCATGGCTACCTTGCCCTGACACCCATATTGAGCTGTCTCTTTCTCACCAATCCTAAAGATCAAAGTCCCCAGACAGAAGAAGCCTTTTCTAATACACACTTCTTATCCTTTCCAGTGCCATGTCTAGGAGGCAGGTGTTCTGGACCACTCACCTTGTTGCGGTACCAGGACTCAGCCTCAGCCCGGCTGCGACTGGCAATGTCATCATACTGAGCCTTAATCTCAGCGACGACACAGTCCATGTTCAGGTCCCGGCTGTTGTCCATCTTCACGATGACCGAGGTGTCTGAGATGTGGGCATTGAGGATCTGGATCTCCTGGGGGAGACAAGAGCCAATGCATTTGGTTCTGGTGTCTGGTCTGGGTAACATGCTCTACCTCTGGGGGCTGTCCACTCCCTGGAGGACCCACTGGTCACACATGATACATGATTCCCACTCGCCTTCATTCACACACAGGTACATCATTAGTGAAGCTGGAAGGGGCTCTAGAGGTCAGGTGGGGACAGCCTGTGACTTAACAAATGGGGAAACCGAACCCCAGTGTGTGAAAAAGGCCTGACTCAAAGTTGTTCAGCAGGGAAGCTTGGGTGTGAATGCCAGGACTAGTGATCTGTCCAGGAATTAAGACCCCTCTCTCACTGGAAACCCACCCTACCCACCCCCTGCACTCCCCTCCCCACATATACACTTTCATATCTGTGTAGAGACCTACATGCACTCAGACCAGCACACAGGCACACACACTGCGACACAGAGAGACCAGAAGGACAGAGACGCCCAAGCACACACGTGCTGTACAATCCTCGGCGCTTACGTTCACATGTCTGACAGTTTCACAATACGCCCACTCACATGTGTGTGCATGTTCTTCACATGCTATCACCCGCAGGGGGTGAATGTGCACACAGTCTCCGCCCTGGGTCCCCACAACTTCCCTCCCCGCTTCCAGGCTGGTTGGCAGGGGCCCCCTCACCTCGTCATAGAGGCGCTTCAGGAAATTAGACTCCTCCACCAGGGCCTCCACGTTGGCCTCCAGGTCTGACTTTCGCAGGTAGGCACAGTCCACATCCTGGTGGTGGGGTGGAGAGGAGGGGGTGAGCATGTGGGAGGAGGCCCCGGGAAGGTGGTCTGGGTGGGGGTGGCAAGCCATCCCACTGGAGGTGGTGTGCACAGAGGTGCCACTCCCTCCCTCCCGCAGCCCAGCCCCCTTACCTTCTTTAGAACCACGAACTCATTCTCCGCTGTGGCCCTCAAAGCCACCTCCTCTTCATACCTGGGTGGGAGAGAGACAGAGGCTGGAGCTGAGGAGTCAGGGTTTGGCAGCCATCCAGGGCAAGCTCTTCTGGGGGTCAAATGGGGGTGAACTCTGCAAACGTCATCCCGGTCTCTCCCCGCTCTATTTTGTGCATTGTTTGTGGGCTAGCCCTGTCCCAGCCTGGCTTATTCCACCTGAGTCCTGCTGCCTCTGGGATGAGATCAGAGAATGCACACTCCACACCCAAGTCTACAATCATCTTTCCGTCCTAGATCCAAAGAGGGCTGGTGACATGGGCAGGGAGGATGTGGAGCCCAGGTCAGGAAGGGGAGCAGGAGGAGCAAGAAAGCCGTGGAATCCCACTGGGCTTCCTTACTCCCCTGAAACCAGCTCTAAGACCCATGGGCCGCCAAGGAGTTGAGGTGGAGCCAAAGAATCTTTAGAAACCTAGGCCCCTATTGCCCACCCTCTTGGGTAGTGGGCAACCCCTCTTGGCAGACAGGCAGGAATCTTCATGAAGCTGCTTCAAGAGGGTTGTGGGCAGAGGCTTCCCCCTTCACCCTGTTATCCCAGGCGATGCCACACTCACTTCTTCTTGTAGCCCTCCAGCACCTCCTGCACGTGGTTGAGCTCTGAGGACAGCCTCCCGCTGTCGGCCTCCACGCGCTCAGCCTCCCGCCTCAGAGTCTCGATGTAGCCGTTGAACAGGGGCTCCAGGTTGCTCTCGCAGCAGCGCTGGTTCTGGTAGAACTGCCACTTGGTCTCCAGCAGCTTGTTCTGCTGCTCCAGGAAGCGCACCTGCCCAGTGGGAGACAGAGACTCAGAAGGAGACCCAGGAGGAGCCCCGGGAGGTGTCCGGCTCCCCAGGGCTCCCTCTGCCCCAGCCCGGTGCCCGCTGAACAGCCAGGCCGGCAGGGGGTTCAGCTGCTGAATCCCTGCGACTCAGGGGGCCTTGCTCCCAGCCCCCCAAGGAGGCACTGTGGGAGGGAGTACCCCGGGCTTGAGGCCAAAGGTCAGATTCACATCCCAGGTCTGCCACGGTAACGGCAGCTTGTCTCACCTCTGGGTGCTTGGTTTTCTCATTCCAAAACAGAGATGATAAGAGTACCTTCCTTCAAGTTGTAAAGATTGAGCAAGCTGCTACATGTAAAGTGCTTAGAAGAGTTTCTGACACACAGGAAGTGCTCAACCAAGTTAACTATGATTTTAATTACAAGTTCTTCATTTATGCAGCAAACGTTTACTGGATATTTACTGTGTGGTCCCAGGGCTTGTGCTAAGATACACACACACACACACACACACACACACATCTTTATCTATGACTGTACCTACCAATCAATTTTATTCAATTCTCACAACCCTATGGGGGGAGATCTTGTTTCCCCTATAGTACAGGAAGGGAAAAGGAGATCCCAAGGTATGAAATGACTAACTTATCGTCTCATAATTAGTCAGGACTCAGGATCCTATGTTCCTTGAGTCTCCTTCACCTGCCTGTGACCACGATCTATCTGGTTCAGTTCAGCCGCTCAGTCATGAGAACCCTATGAACAGTCTGTCTAAGCAGCTCCCTAAGCTCTCAGCTTCAATTTGTTATTAAAAAAACAGAGATGATAATATCTACTCCAGTGAGTCATCTCAAGGATTAACTGAGACCACTAAAGAAAGTGATAATAAGAATGTCCCCCCTACTGTCCTGTCACCCTGGATCCCAGACCTGAGTCTGGTCCTATCTCCTCTGCTGCAGTAAGGCCCAGTGGACAGAGGAGCCCGCACGAAGGCAGGTTCAGCGGTGACCTTTCTGGGAGGCAGCCAGAGGGCAGCTGGGGATTTCTCACCCTCTGCACCGGTGGGTCTCTTCTCGCCAGTCTAGTGGCCTCCCCTCCTCCATTCCCAGCTCTGCACCCATGAAGCATCCTGGAAAGCCTGGTTGGTTGCCTATCACATCTCCTCACCCACTACTGTCCTTGGAAGAATGCTAACAGCTAACATTTTCAGCCACTTTCTATGTGCCAGCCCTGATTGCACAGGAGCCCAGCTAATCTTCAAAGCAAACATATGAAGCCGGTTCTATTAAGGGGACAAGCAACACGCCAGAAGATTCGCACTGTGAGGGAGCAGAAGCGGGAAGGTGGGGAGGCGGCAGGGCTCTGAGCAGAGCCCCAACTACTTCCCAAGCTGCCCCACCACAGGCCTTCTTTTCTCCCCACTGCCCCTCTGCTCTTCCGACACGCAGTGCCCAGTGTTTCAGCAGCAGCTTGGATATTCCCATGTTGTCTTGTCTCCAGAAGCGCAACACTTTACAGCACAGACTCAATTTCTGGACCACGCTGGGCCATGGATATAGATATACTTTGGTGGAATTACACGAGAAAAATAGATCCTTCTGCGCAGATTGGCCTGCATTTCTCTCCCATGGCTGGCGGCCATAGGCTGGCTCCCCTACAGACTGGGACCTTCCCAAGGGGAAGGCAGGGCCGGGGCCATCTCTGGACCATCCCAGGCCTCACTGACCTTGTCGATGAAGGCAGCGAACCTGCTGTTGAGGTTCTTGATCTGCTCCTTCTCCTCATGCTTCACGCACTGCGCATTGGGGTCGATCTCCAGGTTGAGGGGCGTGAGGAGGCTCTCATTGACGGACACGGTGGTGATGCAGGGAGGGCTGAGGCCGCCCACGCCGCCGGAACGGTACCCGAAGCTGCGGCTGCAGGAACCAGCACGGAAGCCGCCCACCGCTATGCGGGGCCCACAGGAGCCCAGGGCCGAGACGCTACGGCTGCCAAAGCCTGTCAGCCCCCGGTAGCAGGACACCCCTCGGTAAGGGGCGGCAGTGATGCAGCAGCGGCTGCCCGTTTTGGGGGCCACAGCCGAGCAGGAGCTGAAGGTCCTGGTGACGGAATATCCTGGACTGATTCTGTAGGAACGGCACGACATGGTGTGGATCTGTGTGGATGGAGGTTTGAGCAAGGGAGTGTCGAGGGCGGCGGGTGCGCTGGGTAGGATGCTTCTGGACCCTCTGATCTTCCTCAGTCCTTTTATTGGTGGGGAGAGCTGGGGTTGGCTGCATAAAAGAAGTGAAAAGCCATTTTATGTTGTTTATTGGCTTGGGGAGTTTGCCAACAACTCTCCAAGGACTCGTCTTAAAGGTGAGCTCAGCGGTGACTCCCGGCCTCCGTAAAAGTATTGAAGATGTTATTAGGGACACTGAGCGTTTGCACTTTTCATCTTCAAAGCTCGTTTACATACATTAAGGTAATTAATTTTCTTGCAGTCTCCTTGTCAGATGGCCTCAACCCACACCTGGAGACGGGTTTGAACACAACAGTCTGGAGTGGCTGAGTGTGGGGTAGGGACTGGGGCCACCATCTCCAGGGAGAAGTTCTAGGGCCCCAGGTTGGGGGAGACCACCAGAGGTCATCACCTCTGTCCTCCCGGCTCCATACAGGATACAGTCTTGGGTATATCGTTGTGTTTCAGGGGCGGATAGAGCAAGAGCGCCCAAACCCACTCAGGCAGCATGGCTTGGCGGTGGTTCAGGTCCAGAGAGGCATTTGATCATGCTCCCTGCAGGGCAGAGGCTTGAGCCCATGGTCTCCTAGAACCTTCTGGATTCCAGCCTGAAAAGTTCTGTTCCAAGGCCTTCATTTCTCACCCACAAAACTGCAAACCACTTAACTCTCAATGGCCACAATAATGGCCTCTTGTGGATAATGGGAGGAGGCCTCCCTTTAGACACTTTCTCCCACTTGACTGAAAGGATGGGAGAACCCAGTTCCGGGAGACCCCTGCTGCTTCGAACTTGCTCTGGACACTATTTCTTGGCTCTTTAAGGAGAAACAGGTCCTGTGAGTCCCAGTTCCTTCCAAGATCACCAGCCAGGAGAGGGGCTCACCCTGTTTGCCAGCCCCGGAATTGTCACTCCTGGAAGAACATTCAGAGACTACTCTGCACAAAGATGGGGGGGGAAGGTGGCTTTTCTTGTCCGAGGACACTGTGATTTCTGGCTCCCATGGGCTCTGAAATCTTGGCTCTTTCTAAAGTCCCCACTTCCCTATGTGTCCTGGGGCCACTTATTAACATAATGATGGCTATTCTTTAATGTTCATTGAGTACAGACCTGGGGATGTCGTCTGTGCCCCAAGGGAGGCCCACCAGACCCCTGAGGGGTTAGGAACTTCAGGAAGAAGGGCGGAGGAACGTCCTCTGAGGGTGACAACTCCTCCATGGAGCCTACCAGAACCGAATGCTGTCCCTCTGCCGCTGTTCCTGAATCCTCCCTAGACGCCCCACTTTCTATCCCGGGTCTGCTCTTGTCTTCACAGCCAGACCCACTGCAGGTCTTTGTCCACACCAGGCTGGCTGGTCTCTATCTCCACATCCCACACCTGTCCTTCCGAGGAGGGCAGAGGCCTTGGGGAAGCGAGGAGCAGATGGCCTCAGCTGGCACCAGATATCTTCAGATCATAGTCACCCATGGTGAAGCAGCGGGCATTTCGCAACCTGGGCAATGGAGTTCAAATCAGAGGACCTGGTTTAAGTGCCAGCCTGGACATTTCCTAGCTGTGTGGCTCTGGGGATGTTCTTAACCTCTCTGAGCTTCTGTTTCCTTGGCTGTAATGTGGGATTCATTCTTATCTTTCAGGGTTGTTGAAGGGATTAAATGGATAGTACACAAGAATGTACCTTGGGGACCAAAAGGGTCTGTTTAAGGGAAAGGAACGTTTCCTATCAGAAATATCCCTGCTCCCCTGTCCCTGCACCTTCTCACTCAGCAGAGAGTGGGCCTGCTCCTTGCCCCACTCACCGGCTTCACTTCCTCTGCACATTTATGATTTCATAATCCTTTTAACCCTGCTTTTAATGCTTTCTTTAACCTGATTTCACTAGTGTAAAAAGTTGGGGGTGGAGTCTGGGGTGGGTAGAGGAGGCTATACTAGGGATGAAGGAAAGGATGGTTTCCCAGCCCCCACCTCTTAAGTGGGGGTCCTGCTGGCCTGGATCCAGGGGTGTATTCTTGTGCCTTGACCAGATGGTGGTGTAGACCTGGAGTGGCGTGGTGGGGCCAAGAGCGTCTTGGTTTCTTTGAAGGGGAGGAGGGTCGGAGCCGAGCATGGGAGATGGGGGATGGGTGGGTTCTCCCCTCTGTCAGCCTGGAAAGCCCATTGGACCTCACCTGCGTCTCAACTCCTGTAAGCTCAGCTCTCCTTCAGCTTACTGAAGGGATGGAAGACCCATTTCTGCCTCTTGGCAGCAGAAAGGAGTGGACGCTTTGGTCCAGAGGGAGATGCCTGTGTCAGCTGTACCCCATGCCCCCAGCGCGCGCACACACACACACACACACACACACCTCCACCTCAAACTGGGCCTGGGCACTGAGGATGGGAAAGGGGAACCAGGGCCTCAGGAGACCTGGGAATGACACACTGCCTTCAGAAATAAGAGACCCATCCAGGACTAGCAGGACGACTCAGAACAAGGATGAGAGCCCCTGGGCGGGTGTGCTGGGAGTGAGGCAGGCCCTGCCAGGTACAAGGATGTGCCTGTGGGTGCTGGGTGAAGTTTGCATTACTGCAGCCCAGGGCTGCTGGGGTCTGCTGAGGAAGACCATCCACATGGTGCTTTAGATTGAAGGGACTGGGCTGGAGGGCGAGGCTGAGTCCTTATGGGACTGTTTCGGGGTCATCCCAGGCAAGCGAGAAACTCACAGGTCAGGTTAGTACAGCACCCTGGGGAGTTTGTTTAGACTTGTGGGGAAACAGTGGAAACAGTGGCAGACTTTATTTTTTTTTGGCTCCAAAATCACTGCAGATGGTGACTGCAGCCATGAAATTAAAAGACACTTGCTCCTTGGAAGAAAAGCTATGACCAACCTAGACAGCATATTAAAAAGCAGAGGCATTACTTTGCCAACAAAGGTCCGCCTAGTCAAGGCTATGGTTTTTCCAGTGGTCATGTATGGGTGTGAGAATTGGACTATAAATAAAGCGGAGCACCAAAAAATTGATGCTTTTGAAATGTGGTGTTGGAGAAGATTCTTGAGAGTCCCTTGGACTACAAGGAGATCCAACAAATCCATCCTAAAGGAGATCAGTCCTGAGTGTCCATTGGAAGGACTGATGTTGAAGCTGAAACTCCAATACTTTGGCCACCTGATGGGAAGAGCTGACTCACTGGAAAAGACCCTGATGTTGGCAAAGATTGAGGACAGGAGGAGAAGGGGACAACAGAGGATGAGATGGTTGGATGGTGTCACTGACTCAATGGATATGAGTTTGGGTGGAATCTGGAGGTTGGTGATGGACAGGGAGGCCTGGCTTGCTAAAGTCCATGGGGTTGCAAAGAATTGGACACGACTGAGTGACTGAACTAATTGGACCTGGGCCTTTGCCATCTGGTTCTATCCCAGGGAGGGCAGAGAATCCATAGAACCACACCCATCTCTACCCGTCCCTCCAAGCAGTTGGCTTAGTGAGACCAGATCCTTGTCTGGGTGCTGGGGTGGGAGCCAGACCTCTTTTTACTGGCTTTCTCCTGCCTTACTGCCCACATGTGCCCTATAGTTTTCCCACACCCCTTTCCCTATCTCCAAGCCTTCTCCCCTATCACACCTTTGCCTGAAATGTCCCAGAACAGCTGGCCACTTCCTCCAGGAAGCCTTTGGGGACTAGTCAGAGGGAGGCTGTGATTTCTCCTCCTCTATCTCAACAGCAGTACACCAATACCCTTCCTGGGGCTCCCCAGGTAACTCCAGTTATTCTCTTTCACATCCTTTTGTCCTGGTTGCTGGCTTTCATCACCCCTTTGGTTCTGTCCCCTCCTGCACTCACACCTTGTGAAGGCCACACCCAATATCAGGAATGTCCATTTGAGAACCCATGGCCCTCCCATAATTTAAAATGCTCCTGAGAGGCCACTTCTTCCAGGAAGTCTTCAAAAGCTAATAGGGTGAGAGGTTTTCTACTCCACCCTGGAGTCCCTGGCAGCTTCCTTGACTCTTGAAGTCCGTCTCCTGGGCTTTCCCCAGAGGCTTCACTGCTCAAACTCACACATGCCACAGATGCTCCATCTTCCTCCCACATGTTACCTAAGCTGGGATGCTTCCCGGGGCCACATGTGCTCTTCTCCACACCAGGGGTCACGATCTAACTTCCCTTCTGCTCTCTTTCCTGTGCTTACAATTTCCTTGCTGCTAGGAGGGCTTCCTGGACTTATCCAAAGATAGGGGAGTGCTGATACCTTCTCATCTTATCCTGTTTGTCCTAGAGCTGCCTGTTGACCCTTATAGTTTCATATATGTATCTGCCGGGGTTCTCAGAGACTGTCTCACTGTCCTTCTTGGATAGTGGGATTCTCTGGGATTGATCCTGATGGCTCCCTATGGGCCTGTGATGAGCAGGGCATTGGTAGTTTCCCACTCAGATCATCTACCTTGGGCATTGCCCATCATCTCTGCTGGTCTTCTCCACACTTTTATTATGTGTCCAGATCTATGCCACCTCCTGGTAGTGGGACACAGTTCTGGGAGGGTCTTTTAGCCCTAAGACAGTTTCTCTGGCTTTTGCAAGACCTGGGTGTGACTCAAGAGACCCTCTGCGAGAGTAGTGAGGCCAGAGCAACAGGGAGGCATTGGATGAATGCCAGACCCTCCCCAGTGCATCTGGGGGCTGGGCCCTTCATCGAGCTGGCAAAGCTGCTCCTTGCACCGCCCCATCTTTCCTCTGATGGGCTTCCCTGCTAGGAACTCTAGACGTTTCTCCCAAAGCCTGTCCACATGCCTTCCTGAAGGCAGCTTTCGCTGGTGGCTTTACTGTTTCCTGATGGCTACTTTGGGTCAGAGCAGATGCTCAGTAAATATAGAGCCTCGAATTTCAAAACGACCATATTAATGGTTTTGAAGTTTTCTTCCTCTCCTCCTCCTAGTCACCTCCTCCCCA